TTATCTATGTTTATTTTGGGCTCGCAGCCAGCTTGAGCCAGGACTGATAAAGATATTTCCTTTGAAGTTCTGTCTGGCTGTCGTTTGTGAACTAGTAAAGAGGGGGGGGGGGTCAGAACAGCCAATTAACTGGGTAGGTGAAATCATGTTTTATTATATTATTTTAATGTATTTTCCTTATATTCTTGAAGATCATTCTCTGCCACCGAGGTCTTTTATGTGCTGATTTTTTTCCATTTTGGTATTTTCTATAGAACATTATTGATTCATTGCACTGGAAGCCATTCAGTCAGAAATCATTAGAATTTTATTTCAAGTTACTTACTAACTTTATCCCAAATGTCCTTCTTCAGTTGGAACTACAGTTCCCCTCATAGCTGCTCATCATAAATTTTTTGTTGAGATAGCTTCTTGGTGAATTACTGGCTCAGCTCACTTTCACTGGTAAGTTTATTTCATCTTGGAAAAAAACCATTGTTGAAGACCTTTTCATGACTCCTCTGCCCCATTTTTAATATTGCTTGCCTTGACAGAGCTATGCCAAATGTTAAACATAGAACTTGGTCTGGATATACAGTACGAGAGAGCTAAAATTCCCTCCTACTATTTCAAGAACCTCTTTCAGAGTCCTTTTGAAACTCCTCAGTACCTTTATAGTATTACTTCATCATATACAAAAGAGTATTCAGTAGAAAGCCCTATCCTTGATGCTGATGCAGGGAACATTTAATAACTTCCCTTATGTAGAGTGATACTGTATTTGTACAGAGGAAACTACTGAATTAGAAGAGCACATTGTACTTTGCTGCTTTTATAATGATGCATGATATTTATATTTATAGCATGCATTTGCTGAATAAGGGTGTATATATCCTTCTTGAGGACTCTAAATTCTTAGAAAGTGAGAGCATAACAGTAGAAGATAATGTATCAATGTACAGATGAAGTAAACCATGGCTATAAAGGTAAACCATGGCTAGGTAAAACAGGGCAGATGTAGCAAATGATGTTTGCAAAGGTTTTTGTTTGTTTGTTTATCTCGTTTAATTCTTTCCTACAATGGTCTATGGTAATATTCTTAAGAGGCAGGAGGAGGAAGTATTGCAGATTAAGCAAAAGTTAGATAAGAGACAGCTTAATTCACAGAAGAAATGGGGCATGGCAAATATCTCAGAAGGGACACACCTAATTTCTTGAACAGTAAGGTGAGAAGGGAAAGATTTACTTTCAGATTTGCGAGACCTTACAATAAAGATAATGTTAGAACCCATAGTTGTGTTGCTTGTACAGACTACCAAAGGGCAGCCATCAATCATGCAGTCAACTATTGCCCTTCCTTCCTTCCTTCCTTCCTTCCTTCCTTCCTTCCTTCCTTCCTTCCTTGATTTTTCATGTTGTTTATCCAAGTGATAAAGTGTATACATAAAATATAGATAAAACATACAATGTAAAAAATAAGAATGTTTATTAATAATCATATTTATGTTAGTTTGCATTTTCCCTTTTAATTACAATTCAGTAGAATTAAAGCACTTTTACTGCTCTTGCAGAGTTAATAAAATACATTCCACTAAATTCTGAAAAGCATAATCTAAGAAGACTTACAATAACTATATTTCACATCTGATGTTATATCCAATAAAGAGTCGAATGTATGCATTATGCAAATTTAATGAATGGTTATAACATTTCAGCATTCTAATATTGATTAAAGAGATGAAATATCTGAATGATCTTGACTAACCTGGATGCAAAGACACAAGTAAGAGAAAAAATATAAAGTCTGCCCTTAGGCTGGGGCTCTGTGAGAATTCTCACCTCTAAGCAAGAATAAAACATTATTAAAACAAGCCACTTTCTTCAAAATCTTGACTTAAAAGAAACAATCACTGAAGAACATCTGAAACAGTAACTCAAATATGTCTACAGAGAAGATATATAGCATACTCTTTTATATATATACATCTAGGTTGTTACTTCTCAGTAAAATAGACACAAGAGTCACCCCACCCACAAAAATATGAAAATAAAACTCAACCATATTTTACTGTTGGGTTGTATGAGCCTGGCTTACACATTGGAATTAACTTATCATCAATTTTGTTGTACTCTCCAGTGAACGTTGTGTCAGACTCTGGGACAGTGAACTCTTAACAAAAAATAATTCCAGACAGGAATCTCACAAAGCCTTTTTAACAGTTTTACTTAAATAAACCAAAGCTCAGCAACTAAACTATTTTCTACTAAAAGTAATTTATCTCTTATGTGATGGTGCAGTGGCTTAATAATGTTGGAACTATTTGTCAGTAATGGTCTGCACTCTGATGGTTCAAGCCTGGCTCGGCAAGATGAAGTGAGCTCCCATCGCTCATTCCCTGGGTCTTACCTATCCAGCAGTTTGAAAGCATGAAATATTGCAAATAGATAAATGGATACCACCAGTGGGAAAAACGTAGTTTGTGTGTGTGAGAGAACGGAAGCCAGCACTGGATCTGGCTGG